GAGTAAGAGTAACCAAGAATAAGGAAGACTAAAAAAGTGAAAAATCTGTTTTTTGAGAGTTTATGAAATACTCATTTTGTCCCCAAATAGAAATTACCGTTACTATTTCAGCATTACAATAACTTTTGTATACTTATATAGTTTTATTAATCATTTCATAAAATATACTCCCTCTGTTTCTTAAAACAGTTCCTCTTTCATTCTTTTCGTTCTCCCTAAAACATTTCCAATTTTGTAAAAAAATGAGGGAACTCTTGACTTAGTTTTTAAATATGTAAGGTTTTCTAACACCCTGCATTCTCTTTCACCTCATTTTAGGGTGTTAAGAAATGGGGAGTGACATTCGATAAAGGGGATTAAGAGTGACTCCTCACCAAAGTTGGTTAAGGAGTAGTTATACTTACTCTCTTTTACCCCTCAGTCTATGGTTCTAAGAGAGAGGCTTAAGTTCTCATTCATTATGGTCCTCAATTACATATCATTTAAATCATTATGTGTGACTTAAAGACCAACAAGGTCCTCACAGTCTATGGTTGGAGCCCCATGAAAGATTTGTATAGTACAACTTTACATATCATTATGTGTGACTTTAAGGCCTCTAGCAGAACACAAGATCCAATAAAAGCTCTAAGGTCATGTTTGGTAGGCCATAATAACATGCATTCTACTCTGGTATAACTTTTCTTTTTTGGGTAAAATTAGTAACATCACATTGGGTTCAAGTACATATCACACACTGTTATATATTTTAGTGTAATTGGAAAAACTACGACCAATGGTATCCTAATAATCATCAAAGAAGTTTGGAGGTGCGGAGTGCACGCTTCATTGAGTTTGTTACGATATAAAACCTGTTACACCGGGGGTTCCAAGGGGGCAGCGCCCCTTTGGCGGGGGTTCGGGGGCAACGCCCCCGAGCAGGGTTCAAGGGGCGGCAGCCCCTGCGGGGTCCAAGGGGCAGAGCCCCTGGCTGGGGTCGAGATGTTAAAAAATTCAATTAGAATTTTAATTTCGAATTTTCTTTAAAAGAAAATTCGATGGATAGGACCGAATTTTGAAGAAGAAACTTCCGCGCGAAGAGTTGCGTGCTTTGGGTAATAGCCGCGAATGGTGTCTTCTCCTTCTCACCCCTAGTCTATAAAATTCCCCTGGGCATGGTCGAATTTCGTTCGGTTTTCAGACACAGCGATTCTCATATTTCGTTCTTGATACTTTCGAGTTTTATCCGATTGAAGTTTGGAGTGAACAACCAAAATATTCAATCTGAAAGTGTTTACACAACTCTCGATTCATCCAAGTTATCATTAATTTCCCCAACACACACTGCCTGAATTTTAAAACCTCAAGCAGAACAAAAGATCCAACTCATTAACATATGAAAACAAAACAACACAACTTGTTTGACCCAGAAATCTGATGAACATCACATTGCAGATTCCAACAAGAAAGAAGCCAACCATTCAACAACAAAAAAAAAAGTAAAAATTAACACTCTGTTTGGTTCGCCGAATTCGTAATTTTCTTTTCCAAAATGGAAGAAAAGTTGTTATTCCTCCTCACTTTATTTTATCCGCTCATTTTTTTCCCCTTCATTTCTCTTTTCTTCTCTAACCAAACAAAATAGAAATTGTTTTTCATATCATTTTGTTTCCTTGAACCAAACATGGGGTAAAAGAGACAAAGAGGGGAAAGGTCGGCTACCCATTGGTTCATTTCATTCCAGTTTAGAGAAAAGTGGATGGAATTTTTTTAAAAAATCAGCACCACAAACAGATCAATAGGCATCAAGTCATCATTTCACAAGATCAAAAAAGGAATCTTTGGGAATCTTGGTAACAATGCAAAAGAGAAATCTGACTAAAAGAAGAAGAAGAAGAAAAGTGCTTGAGAAAGCTAAGGCATACCTGCAGAGAGACACATGAAGAAAGTAGTCTCTTTTATGCTTAAAAAAGTAAAGAGAGAGAGGGTAAAGTCCAGAATGTCAATCAAGAAACTTCACCGGCAGGAACTATAAATATAGAGAGGGTCGGCGAGAGAAGTGAGAAATGAAAAGTGTCGGTGGGAAGAAGAATTTGGATGGATGATTAGAATGGATCTGCTAGCGTGTCGTCTTCACATACACACGCACTCTCTCTTCTTCTCTCTCTGTGAGTTTTTGGCCAGTGGTGTGGGGCGTGTGCAAGTTCAAGTTCCAATGGCGTTCACGTTTCCATTTTTCTGTTTCCAGTGGGAGGTTGTGCTTCTGACGCCATCCCGAGCGCGTATTTCCGTGGGATGTTTTGGCAAATGTTAGTTTAAACAAAATATTTATATTGACATTTTCTATCATTGTAAACCATCGCACATTCGCACTAGTATTACACAAACATAAAATGTTGGTGCATGTCTTTGGAATATAAAGTAGATCTATTTTTTGGGCACAGATAGCTTAGTTCCAAAAACAATTAAGAAGCATTTGATATACTACCCCGTAAGGCCCGTAGTATTTCGTTATTCTCTCTGTCCCAAAAAATTTGCAACATTAGCTAAACAAAGTTAATTTTTTAGTTTTTTCAATTCATTTAATCTAAAAATTGGTATATAAATAAAAAAATAAAACTTACATATTTAAAAACTACGTCAAAAGTTCTATAAAACAAGATGTGACAAAAATATTTTATTTTATCAAATACATGGACGACCCGGAGGGTGTGCGAGGTGGTCACCCGCACAGGACTCCCGAATTTTTAGCGCCCAATATTGTTAGATATTTATTATTTTTGATGGTGTAAATTATAACAGATAGAGAAAAATTAAAACAGTGAAAAAATTTATAAAAAGGAAAAAATAAAAAAAGTGGACAAAATGAAGAAAATTAAAAGAAAAAGGAAAGATATGATAAAAAGTGAGAATAAATAAAAATAAATAAAGAGTTTAAAAAGGGTCAAAAGAAAAAAGAAGCAAAAAAGAGGGAAAAATAGCAAATAAGAAAAAACAAAAGTAAGAAAAAACAAAAAAATAAAAGAAAAGAGGGGGAAAAGTAAGGAAAGAAAGAACGGGAAGTGGGTTGAAAAAAAGAATATAAATTATGGGAGTGTAAGGAGAAGAAAAAGAAGAATGAGGGTCAATGTGAAAAAATAAAAATTCAGATTTAGCAATTTTGGCCCTAAGTGTCCTGCCTGGTAATGTATAAATGGACTATTAGTGAAAGAATGTTAAACGTTCAGATACTTTGGTGAAAGGTTTTGATGCTTATGTACCAAATCTATATTTTCGTGAAAGTTTAGATATCATTCTTGAAATTTACCCAATAAGAAGTGGGTTCGTTTTGAGTATAAATTGAATACAAAGGTATTCATCCCATTTTTTTACAAAGACTGGACCATCTCGAACCATTCTAAACCAATATTTCATGAGCAGGGTCAGTGTAACATAAAATATCATATCAAGTCGAAATATTTAGTACAATATCAACACGAGCTGAATATTGTCTCATACCGTACCATATCAATGCTAATTCTAATTAAATTCTATCGTATCAGTTTGAATAATAGATTAGAAGGGGAAACTATAATCTCAAATTGATTGATAAGAAGCGGGTCGTTTCTTGGTATCTACACAAAAGAATGCTACGTAGAGAATGATCATTCTTTATCGTCATTGTAGCTTGTCAAGAGCTAAACCCGGTATTACCTCCATTGCACATTCTTTCGACTAATTGAGATAAGTTTTCTTGGAAAAGCTTTAGAAAAAACTTTACTACCCCACTCAAAACATTGCATTCTTACCATTTTCATTTCATTGAAAAGAATTAGAAAAAATTAGAAAGAATTGCAAGATATTAAACTAGAAGAAACTTAAAGAAATTGAAAAACTTGGAAAAACAGAAAAGAATTGCGAAATGTTAGAAGTTAATTTTCTTAACCCAAAAGAACAAGCTTTAAATTTTCACAACTAAATTTATTTATTTTAACAAAATGACCTATATACAATTATACTTGATTAAAAATTAATTTACATACAACACCTTTTCGTTGAGCAAGATTCGTTTAAATTATAAAGTTCTGTTACGATTAAAAAATTATGTTCATTCTGATCTAATTTTTCTAATTTACCTTCATACAATATTTAATTTAGTTACTTTCCTTCAAAATTATTGAGTTTTGCAAAATAATTTTATGATATGTTTCTCCCCTCCAAACAATTAAGCAAAGTTTACAGCAAATCTAATTGTACTTATTGATTAATTTTAAAATTAAATATGTATACATGGAATGTACAAAAATACAACTTTCCTCTCATAAAAATCTTATGTGTTTGATGTTTACAAATTTAGGAAAAGTGGTGAATAGTGGAATGTTTTTTGGATGAATGAAAAAGGAAAAAGTAAAAGTTTTTAAAAAATTTAAAAAAAAGAATTAATTATTTATGTCATTTAATTAAGATTAATAAAAAATATACTCCATTTATCCTACTATTTTTATAACATCGGTTGATGGAATGCAAATTATGAAATGAAAAATTTTATTATTGATATTGATGTGAGAAACCTCTAAGAAAAAGGTTGACAAGTTTTTATTCGGGTTTTAAGGTTATATTCATTTTCTCACCTTAGAATAGAAAGATCATAAAAGAATTGAGAATTTTGTAAAAATGAAAAGATTAACTTGTTAAGACAATAAAAATTGTGAAAAACTTTAGATTTTACATGTTAAACACTAAGATCACGAAAGCATAACTTTAAAAAATATTAATAAATGTGAGTTAAAAAATATTACTAAATACGATTTGAAAAAATATATGATGACATAGAAAAAATAAAAGATTATGGAATTAAATCTAATAAAAATATGAAATTTAAGAAATACGAATAATATTATTTATTTCAATGTTCTTCATTTTTTTAATATTTTCTAATTTCTTCGAACATCTAATTTTTTTTTAAGTGGTTCCAATTATTTTTAAATCCAAATTTGTTTTTCCGAACAAAAAAGCCTAAAATGCTGATCGCTGAGAGGCAGCGTAAGGATGTGATTTCGCCACGTTTCTCGTTCTTTTTCCACTGTAAACTCCTAACGTCCCAGCCCAACACCGCCGTTGGGGGAGTCGGCGACCCACATTCACCCTAGGGTTTCCCCTGATTCAATCCATTCAAGTCGCCGACGGTAAAGGTTCAATTCGTCGGCGGAGCAAAATCATCTTATCCTTACGTTCTCAACGATGGCCTCGAAGCTTCTAGACGCCGTTTTCCGAGGCAGATATGTTAAGCCCGCCTCCATTCTCCGCCCTCTTTCTACCTCCGCGGCGGCTGCGAAGGTAGAACCGTACGAGGAAGTTTCCGGCGGGATCACCATGAAAGGAGTGAAGATCGCCGGAAGACCTCTGTACCTGGATATGCAGGCCACGTCTCCGGTGGACCCACGCGTGCTTGACGCCATGCTCCCTTATTACATCTCGCGCTACGGAAACCCTCACTCTCGGACTCATCTCTACGGCTGGGAATCGGACGATGCCGTCGAGAAGGCCCGCGCCCATGTTGCGGCCCTAATTAATGCTTCCCCTAAAGAGATCATCTTCACTTCCGGTGCCACAGAGTCCAATAACATCTCCGTCAAAGGAGTCATGCATTTCTACAGGGAGAAGAAGCGACACGTCATCACCACACAGACTGAGCACAAGTGTGTTCTTGATTCCTGCCGTTACCTGCAGCAAGAAGGCTTCGATGTCACCTACCTCCCGGTAAGCTCTGATGGGCTTATTGACCTAGAGAAGCTCAGGGCCGCAATCCGGCCGGATACAGGTCTCATTTCTGTGATGATGGTGAACAATGAGATTGGGGTCATCCAGCCAATGGAGGAAATTGGAAAAATCTGCAAAGAATTCAATGTTCCTTTCCACACCGATGCAGCACAAGCTCTGGGGAAGATTCCAATCGACGTGGATAAGATGAATGTGAGTTTGATGTCGCTTAGTGGGCACAAAATCTATGGGCCCAAAGGAGTTGGGGCTCTATACATGAGGCGTAGACCGAGGATTCGGGTCGAGGCCCAAATGAATGGAGGGGGGCAAGAGAGAGGGATAAGGAGTGGAACAGTGCCGACCCCATTGGTGGTGGGGTTTGGAGCTGCCTGTGAGGTGGCCATGAAGGAAATGGAGTATGATGACAAGTGGATCAAGGGTTTGAATGAGAGGTTGTTGAATGGGATAAAGTCCAAGCTTGAAGGAGTTGTGGTGAACGGAAGTGAGGAAAGGCGCTATTCTGGGAACTTGAATCTCTCATTTGCTTATGTGGAAGGGGAGAGTTTGTTGATGGGGTTGAAGGAGGTTGCGGTGTCAAGTGGTAGTGCTTGTACAAGTGCCAGCTTGGAGCCCTCTTATGTTCTAAGGGCATTGGGTGTGGAAGAGGACATGGCCCACACCTCGATTAGATACGGGATTGGGAGGTTCACTACCGAGGAAGAGATTGATAGGGCCGTAGAGCTTACGGTGCACCAAGTTGAGAAGTTGAGGGAATTGAGTCCTCTTTATGAAATGGTTAAGGAGGGTATTGACATTAAGAGCATCCAATGGGCTCAACACTAGTCCTTTTTGCATTTCTGCTCTCAATCAACATGCCAGGTGAGTTTGAGCATTATTCATGGTTTGACCTAAAGTGAATCCCAGTGATTTTTTTTAATGAGTTATAAATGTTGGTATTGTATGAGTATGACTGTGTTATTTATATTGCTGATGTGCTGGATTATATTGTTGTAGTTGATTGGGTGTATACATTTTGCCCATGACTAGGGTAGCTATGCTGCATTTTGTTGCCCATAAGAGAAAATAAAATGATCATCCACTTTGTATAACTTGTAAAAGGGTCATCTAATTCCTAATGTCAGTTCAAAGGCTTTGAAGGAAATGATCCATTGAGATTTCGGAAGGCTCGGTGGGTCCGGTATATAGAAGTTTAGCGTAAAATTGAACAAGAATAATTTATTAGACCTCATGATGTGTTTATATATTTACATTTATGTACTCGTATAATACAGTATTCCGTAATTATCTGAAGCAAATAGATTCAGACCAAGTTCGAGTTTTGAAAATTGTGTTGTATTGAGAGCATCTCCAACAGGCTCCCAAAATCCTAAGTTTTGCAGAAGAGCTTTCTCCCATAGCCCTCTATTTCTAAACACAATGTGTTTTAACTCCTCTCTCCCCCGACAGACTCATATATGTGTCATTACTGTAGCTACGGCAAACTGATAGTCTGATGCAATTTTTTCAGATTGAACACGCAGAAGCTACGAACAGGACTCCCGAGGAGTTTTTTACCTTTGAAAACCCCCCAGATTTCTTTGTGTGATGGCTTGATGTCGATCTAGATGCGAAAGGAGGAGTCCTAGGAAGAGAAAAGATAAAGCAGTTGAAGCTGGGTTTGCTTGATCTTCTTTGTGGAGGGCTATAGTCCAAAAAGATCTTCAAACGATCAGTTAAGAAAAGCCTCTTTGTTAATGTGTTTTGTGTAGGTCAAACTCAAATAAATTGAGTACGTGATTTATGCCGTTTGTGAAAGGAAAAAAAAAAATTATTTGTGTTTGAATTTGGTGTACTGTTGAAGATGAATTACTCTAATTTCGATTTATACTCGCCTATCAATTTTGAAGGTCCTGTGCAATTTTTTAGGCCCTGAAGCTAAAAATTACGGAGTATACTTTGTAGTTTGTACTACTACTGTACTACCTTTTCCAGTATTTGTTCAATTTTAATTTTTTTGTAGTTAATCATTTTAAATTTTTGACATACAATTAAAAAAATTATAAACAATTTTGATTAGAGAAGACAATATTTTAAAAATACTATATACGGAGTAAAACAAATCACATCATATTATATTTGAATCAATGTATAATATAAATTTTATTTAAGATAAATTTTTGCGTGGTTCTAATGTTCATATACGTATATTTTATGAACTTTAGTGCATAGTATAAAAAATAATTTGGTTTTTTGCAAATTTTTTTTATCTATTTACCAGTTCATTAAAAGTGTGAGAAAATCTATATCTTACATATGAATATTAGGACCACGAAAGAGAAAACTCTTTAATTAATTAGTGGTCAAATTTCATCAATTTTTATGGTAAAAACTTAAAATTAGACAAAAATTCAGAGAGGAAAATAGTAGTGATTCAATTAAAAGGATTAAAAAGAGCTCGATTATTATTGATAAATATTTAACATGAAATTGTTAGCTAATAGACGCCATAGAAGAAAGAATCATAATCGAATAAACCAGTTTTAGAGCTTCCTCTTTAGAGCACTTGAAATAGTCATAGAGTCTTGGAGTTTCAAACTAGAGATTCAAATTTTCTTTTTTTTTTGTGTCACATCAGTTTTAATCCTTCTTTAACTTACATCACAATTTCACTGGAAATGCGTTTGAAGCTCCGAGAACTCAAACTAGGCCTTCAAACATTCATTTTTTTAAATTTTGAATACACATTTTTTAAAATTGAATTAATAAAATTTCATTAATTAATTGAATTTAAACGACAATAATTCATTGGATAAAAACATGAGATTCAATAGAAAAATACTTTAATAAAATATGATTTGAATTATAACATAAATAAAAAATTAAAATGGCATTACATTATGAAGAAATTACTGATTATTTGAGCGACTAAAAATATGTTCAATCAAATCCGCTGTTAGTGTCTTGTGAATCTCTCGACTTCAAATTTTCTGACGGTTTCTCCGTTTCTTTTATTCATCGATTTCTTCGTACATAGGCACCTCCTCGTCCGGATTGTGATGACAAATTGCAAATTCATTGTCCTCTATGATCATATTATGATTATATGTGAAATTCCTCTTTTTCGTTTGGGAATAACACTTGGACAAACAATCTAGAATGTGCCACTTTCCCTTCAACATCCCGAACACGAAGGCTCGTTCGATATCTTTCCTCGCCGCCTCATGAGTTTTTTTATAGGTTTAGTGTTTAAGACCCATTAGTTCGGAGAGATACTTGACAATTGGAGAATAATCCAGATATATTTCATCAACAAGATAATATCCACGCTTGTAATAAAGCGTTCCTCTAAGCTCAAAAGACAAGTCGGTTGTAGTCTCATTAACCCGATGGTAAAAAACGACAATTGATCAAAAATATTGATGTCGTTGTTCGAGCCCGCAACACCAAAAAAAGCATGCCAAAACCACAAGTCGGTTGAAGCCACAACTTTGACTATTATAGTAGGCTTGGGATGATCACCCCGGGAGAACTGATCATACCACGCAGTGGGATAATGTTTCCATTCTCAATGCGTGTAATCAATGCTCCCAAGCATGCCGAAAAAGCTGTGTTTAGCGGCATGCCTCGCTTGTAACTGCTCAATGTAGCTCGATGTCACCTTCGTAAATACCTTTTATGATAAAGTCGAATAATAGCTTTAGAAAATTAATAAACACATGAATCCAAGGTCCTGCAAAAAAGAGGAGAGGCTAGGTTTTTGAGAGCCTTAGCTCTGATACCATGATACAATTTGATAACAACTTGTCTTATTGAATATTGAGAGATATGGCCCTATATATAGAGAATACAAGAGTAATCAAAGTACAAGTAGGAAAGGAAAGAATAATCCTAGTAGGAAAGGAAAGAAGTATCCTAATTTAATTATACCTAATAGAATATATTTTCGTTTTCTAAAATATGGGTAGTTTCAGATAATATGGTTTACGAATATCTTTTATGTAGTTTACCATAACTAGTTATTATTATGCATGGAAAGATATTTTCGTAAACTACAATTTTTAATTCGTAGAAACCATAAAGATCATACAGTAACATTCTCCTCTGATAGGACGCGGAGCCCTTAAAATTATAACAAACTCCCAACAAGAAGCCAAAAAAACGACCGTTTGTAAACAATCCCAATTATGTTTTCACACATTTGGTACATATGTACCCTACGCCAAAAATCCTGAAAGAATATTTCCAGTAAGGTAACAAAGCAAATTACCCTTAACGACTGCCTATCTGATAGTATCAAATATCTTGGAGCAACTCGACGACCCTTCTCATGGAGGGCCTGTTTACCGGCAAGGCTGACGTACAGAGAAGCGCCACATATAATACCCTGTTCATCTCTTCATAGTGATCACCCGCAGATTGATTCATCCTCGGGTCTATAATCTGATTCAGATCGCCCAATTGTTCCACGGACGAGGCCGCAACGCCCGAAACCCACTGTACAATGTCCTTATTCTCGCCAAAGGAGTCGTCATTTGGCCTTCTACCACATAACAGTTCCAACAATACAATGCCGTAGCTGTAAACATCGCTCTTCTCTGTGACCCTCAGCGTGTAGGCATATTCTACAATTTGAAACAAAACCCATATCGTTTTCAACTTATTTTCAATTGAATAAATTCCGATTCGTTCCAGCTTTAGGCTGCATTGCATTCGACTGATCTGATCTGATTTTTTGAACATCTGATTTGATTTTTTGAAGATCTAATCTGATTTGATTGTAGTTATATTTAAAGTTGTTTCTGATCAGGTATAGTATCAGATCTGATTTTAATAAGAATAAGTTATAAGCTAAAAAACAAGTTGAACGGAACGCAACCTTAGTGGGAACAACGGAAAAATGCTTACCTGGTGCAATGTAGCCATAGGAGCCAACCACATTGGACATGGGTTCTTCAGCAGTTGGGATATCTCGGCGGAGCATCTTGGCCAACCCAAAATCTGCGACCTTGGGGATGAACTCTGAGTCCAACAAAATGTTGTTAGATTTGATGTCGCGGTGTATAATAGCCGGGGTGCAGTTGTGGTGCAAATAGGCCAGTCCCTTAGCAGCCCCAATCGCGATGTCGAACCTCCTTGGCCAATCCAACAGTAAACCGCCGTGTTCTCCGTGTAATACGTCTCCTAAGCTCCCATTCTCCATGTATTCATACATTAATATTTGGTAATCTTCACCAATGCTACAGTGCAGAAGCTTCACTATATTCCGATGACGGACTCTCCCTAGAATCTCCACCTCTGTTTTGAACACGCTTATGGATTCTCCCTCCCATTTAGCCTCCCAGAGCTTCTTAACTGCAACCATCTGCCCGGTTTTCAGATGGACCTTGAAAACCTGACCCGACCCACCCATTGCAATGATGTTCTTATTGGTCAGAGAAGCCAACACTTCTGATTCCTGAAACCCATCATGTGTGAATGAGGTATTGCTCCATGAAAATATGGTTCTTTTTCTTCTCTGCAGGGACTTTTTTGTCCTCATCAAACTCCAGAGGAGTAATAGCACTAGGACTAATATGCAGGATGCTAAAATGCCCAACTGGTAACCGGATATGGGTTTGGGTTTCTGGCATGAAGGGAGGCCTTCAAGATTGGACGAGCACAAGCCCGGGTTACCCATTATGCTTGAATGGAATAAGCTGTTTCCAAACCCGGAAGGCACTTCCCCTTCAAGCCTGTTATAAGATAAATTGAACTTGTTGAGTTTCAGATTGGTCAACGACGCTGGAATTCCTCCTGTGAGCATATTTCCGGCGAGGTCTAAATAGTTTAATACATGTAATGTCCCTAGCGAACTTGGAATTTCGCCTGATAAACGATTGAATGATAAGTTCAGGTCGGTCATTTCATTCCACGAACTCACTGACTTTGGTATTTCACCTTCGATCAAGTTCTCTTGAAGTTCAAGCTGCTGAAGATTCTTCAGATTCATTACACATGAAGGCAAGGAACCAGAAATCTGATTCTTGCTCAAATCCAGAACAACCAGCTTCTGCAATTTGCATATTTCCGCCGGCACCCCACCGGCAAATTTGTTTCCCGAGACCAAAATTTTGGTTAAGCTACGAGCACTGGAGATTGAGGGAGGAATGTGGCCTTCAAGTTTGTTGTTCTGGAATTCAATGAGTTCATAGCCAGTCAAGTTCCAGAAACCGGCAGGTACTGTTCCTGAGAGTCGATTGTCTTTGATACGCACGTACGTCAGAGAGCTACAACTAGCATAAGATCCCGGAATGGTTCCGGAGAATCTGTTATTGAAAAGAATCAAACCCTGAAGCTTCCTTTTAAAACAAAGATTCGGAGGTAATGGACCTTCTATATTGTTTCCAGAAACATCCAGTTCCATTAACTCTGAGTTTAGACCTAAGTTCGCCGGCAACGTACCAGAGATTCTGTTGCGGAAGAGCCTAAAATTGACGAGATTCGGATTGAGAGATATGCTTCCAGGAATTTCTCCTTGTAAATCATTTTCGCTGAGATGCAGCGACTCCACGTGTAAACTTGCGAGACTCTCGGGAATTCTACCGGTCAGGTTGTTCAGTGAAAGATCAATGCGAAGTAGAGAACTGAGATTCCAGAATGTGTCCGGCAATTCGCCAGAGAGCTGGTTGCCGTAAAGCTCTATCTGAACGATGCTTTTCAGATCTCCGATAGTATCAGGAATTTCCCCGGTGAGGCTGTTTTCAGAGAGGTCGAGGTTCTGGAGATAGATTAGGTTCCCGATGGAATTTGGGATGGTTCCAGTGAGATTCGCCCCACGCGCGAAGAGATTCCGGAGCTTCTTCAGCCGTCCGATTGAGGGAAGCAATGGGGTGGCGTCGAAAGGATTCATGGCGATTCCTAGATACGTCAACTCGGTGAGATTGGCAATGAACTCGGGGAGCGAACCGTTGAAAAGGTTATTGACGAGATCGAAAATCTGAAGTTTCTGCAAACGGCCGAAGCTTGCCGGAATTTCGCCTGAGAAATTGTTCGAAGTGAGAACCAGAGTGGTGAGGTTGTTGAATTCGGTGAAAAACTCCGGCAGCTCCCCGACGAATAAATTAAGGGAGAGGTCCAATTTCTCAAGATGAGAGCACAAAGAGATGGCATCCGGAGATATAACCTCACCGAAGTTGTTATTGGTGAGATTGAGACTTCGAAGGGTAGGAATCCGGCAAAGTTCCGCCGGGAATCGGCCGGAGAGCCCAAAACTGGGGAAATCAATGGAGACAACGGCGTGAGAGAGAGGATCACATGTAATGCCAGTCCAATTACATGGCGCATTGATGGAATCGACCCAATCACCAAGTTGACCGTTCGGATTGCCGAGTTGCCTGGTCTTGGCTCGGAACAGAGTGGCTGCATCATTGCTGTGGAAGGAGCTCACCCATGGAACAAAGATCATCAGGAAAACAATCACATCTCCATGTATAAAAAGCATCTGCTTCAGAAGAAAACTCATCAGAATATTCAGTGAGAGCTTCTGCAAGTGTGTGAAGAGACATTTTATAAAAGACTAGTGAGCATGGGAGTGGTGTACAACTTGAATCCATTTTTCTTTTTGAGTCGTCCATAAATTTCGTTTCCGTTTCCTATTTTAGCAAAAACTTTTTAACGAATGTGTCATTATATCTCCACTTTTTATCTACACTGTTCACTTTATTCAATCACATCAATGACAACTATGAAAAGTCTTTAAATTTTTAAACTTTTCTTAATAAACGAGTAAAGTCAAAGCGAGAAAGGAAATTGTGGAAGGGGAAAGTCTAACTTAGTGTACCAAGCAATTTGGTTCATAAAAAGCACAGACAATACTCCTAGTTCTAGACTTCTAGACTAGACAAAAAGAAGTCACTCCTAATGGAATATAGAGTAGAAAAACAAGTGCTAAAACTCAGAGGAATTACCAATCAGTGGAAAAAAATGGAAAGGTGAATTCCAATCAGTGAAACCCCTGTGTGACAAACACGGAGTGTAATACATCAACTTACTTCGTGTTCAAGGCTCACAATCTTTTTATACATTAACCATTAAAAAATCTTTACAAAATATTCTCTTTGTCTTGCTGATTTTGATATTTTTCTTTTTCGAATGTCCTAAAATATTTATTCACTTATATTTTTAAAAAGATAAAGAATATGTACTCCAAAGTTTATTTATTTATTTATTTATTTATTCGAATTTCAATTATCCACTTTTACTTTTTAACACATTCTTTAAACTTTACATCGTCCAAGTTAAACTGGGAGAGAGGGATTATGTTAAAAAATATTCAATTTTTACAATCTTTTTGAAATATTTGATTAAAAAGTACTCTGTATAATTTAGAGCTTAATGAATAAATGTTGGATATGAGAAAGGGAAAAAGACTAAAGTATGAGTAAAACAATGAAAATATACCAAAATATACCAAATAGGAGTTAAAAAACTTAAAATGCATACACAATGTCAATCATGCCAATATATAATACCAAAAAGTATTGTGAAATGTGTTCATTTAGAGTAGTGCAAACTCTTATTTTGGAGATAAAAACATGGAACTCCTACTTCGGTACCTTCTCTATGTTTTAATCCTATTTAAGGCGATTTCTGTGTGAAGTAGTTAAATACCTTAATAGCATGTTCTTTAGGACTGAAAAAAGAGTTGGAAATTGGAAAAATTGGAAAAAACTAGAAAATTGGATAAACTGGAAGGAACTCTAAGAAAAAACGGGAAGGAACTTCAATAATTTAATTAAGTGTATTTTACATATTATTCTTATTATAATCGTTATTGTTATTATTATTATTCTTAACATTATTCTTAACATTATTATTATTATATTCATAATAAATAAAGAAAGTGAATAAAATTTGACCACGTGAATAGTATACATGCAATTTAATTAGGAACAGAGAATATAATTACTATTTTTTAATTTAAAACACTGATTTTTTTCCAAGTCAATTTAGATTAATAAAATATCCATAATTTTTTGAACATATTTTAGTGTCATGTAAATTAATAAAAAAACTCCCCAATAAAATTGTACTTCGTATTATTTATATTAAAAATAGAAGAAAAAATAATACTGAGTATGAATCGCAAAAATAGTGACATAGGAAAAATAAAAATTGGAAAAGTAAAATAATTTATAAACTATAGTTATGAACATAATAATATTAATAATAATAATAATACATGAAAAACATATCATTTTAGAGTTATTATTTGGGAAGTAGAAAAGATAAAGAAGAAAACGGGAATAGATGGAAAAACTAGACGGAACTGAAAAAAACTGGAAGTTAAGAGTTTAAGCTCTAAAGAACATGCTCATGCTCTTTTGAACTTAAACTCTAAAACTTCTACTTTTCACAGTTTTTTCCTATTCCTTGCCATGTTTTCCATCCTTCCAGTTTCTTCCTACTCTTTCCAGTTATTTCATGTCAAAAAATAACTAGAACATGGAAGCTGAAGAAAAAGGTATGCACATCATACCTTTTTTAAGTCAAAAAATAGTTAGATGGATCAAGGATGAACATGAGCATGGAAATGAAAAGATACCCAGTACCTTAATCTGAGCTTCCTCATGGAGGTATTTGTCTCAAGGCATATATAGATGTCGTTCTTCTCTCATGCAGCATAAGACCTCTAGTTGACAGTAAACATGTTATAAAAAAGATATATGTACCGTAAAAGCACTCAATATATTATCTGAAAATAAAACTAAAATACTGTCCTTGCTTCAGTCAGTCAATTTCAGAGTACAGATCATTAATCATGGCAGATGGCAGATCTCATCGAAAACAGGTCTATTGAGTCAATGAAGCTGTTTAGGCAAATAACTAAACAGAATATCTATCCCTGAGAAAACACTGATCCATCTCATAAATTTTCAGGCGGACGATGTGTTACCACATTACTCCATGAGATGAAGCACCGTGGGAAAGACTATCGCTTTGGTGTTGTCTCAATGTGCATAGGTACTTTTTTTAGTAAAACGGCTGCATGCTGTATATTTAAGTCAGTTTTGTTCGTTCATCGACTTACATATGCTCTCATCATATTTTGAGCTGCAGGATCAATGATGGGCGCAAGTCGCAACTGCTGTTTTTGAAAGAGGGGATTGAGCAGATGGTCTCTCCTACGCTAGGGCTTTTAACCCCACAAAATCTCTCTAAAGATGCTAAATAATAATGTTATAAAGTTGTGTTGTGTCAGCTGATTTTGAAACAAACATGAAGGAAAAGGGGTGCCTGTATTTTGACACAAACATTTTGAATAAATTTGACAGCCTTTAATGTGCTTGCAATGTTTGATTCTATCGTTCCTATCTTTGTAGCAGAATAAATTTGGAAGCCTTTAAGTTTATAATCAAAATAAAATGCAACAAAACAAACCGTGCTACACCAAGAATCATAACAAGTTGGCACATGGAGTACTATTACCAGAGTGTTACACATCTTTGTACAGCAACTGAAACCTTGGTATCCTCTCGGGAGGAAGGGAACATGATAGTATGATACAATCAGCTTCCATTTCATTGCTCCTCTGTATATTGCCTACATAAACAAAAACACCTTTGGATATTTTAATTCAAGATAAGCATGATCCCATCAAAGAAAATACATAGCTTACACAAATGTGTACTCCATATCACTTTTTGGTGATTGATTCTGGAAAACTGTCTTCATAGTTTTATAATTCTTTTTCTCAGCTGTTTTTGTTAAAATCAATGACCAAATAGTTTTTTAGAGTTTTAGAAAGCACCTTTTTTAAACACAAATGATGAAAATCTGTACGGATTTGGTGAAAAGTGTGACTGATAATCAGAGGTTTTCCTCATAATACATAATTACATATAACAAAATGACTATATATATACATAAGAAGGGTGCTAATATAAGGAAACTATATCTCCCATATTAATGCCTAAATCACCCATATTAATGGCCAAATCAGATCCTGCCATATTCTCAGGACTTAACTAAAATACTAATATTATTACTAATAACACTCCCCCTCAAGTTGGAGCATATATATTTATCATGCCCAACTTGTTACATAAATACATAAGCCTGGTGCCATTTAGCGCTTTAGTAAGGAGATCTGCTAATTGATCTCCTGTCTTCACAAATCCAGTAGAAATCAATCCCTTCTGTATTTTCTCCCGAACAAAGTGACAATCTACTTCAATATGTTTCGTCCTTTCGTGAAAAACTGGTTTGGATGCAATATGAAGAGCAGCTTGGTTATCACACCATAGTTTCGCAGGGATGGGAGCTTTGAAACCAGTTTCATTGAGGAGGTGATATATCCATATTATTTCACACGCAGCTTGTGCCATGGCTCTATATTCAGACTCAGCACTAGAACGAGAGACAACGTTCTGCTTCTTGCTCTTCCACGAAATCAGATTCCCACCCAC